CAAGGTTACAAGGGCCAACTACTCCTCTGAACAATAAAATCCTGCACTACCACCTGGGCCATTCCTTAGCAGGCCAGCTGCTTAGGGGAAGCAGCCCAGTACAGAAAATGCAGACCAGTCAGTACAGAACTACTGCACTGGGAATCCCAGCCCCAGCAATTTTTCTTATGGGAACACGACGAAGAATTTAATGAAGGCTGCTTGTACCACTGATCCTTGGGAAATGCATGGCTGACAGAGGATAGCAATGCCATACCAGAGCAGCAGCAACCATATCATAATTGTAATTAAACATTTATTTCGTTATATATTGTGGGTTCATAGATCAATGATTTTCCTCAAAATTCGTGAGATGAGCTAGTAAGTTCAGTTATAAAAAAGAATGATGTTCCTCCTGAACAGGTCAGAAAATTCACATCAGAACAAGGCATAAAGTACTATCATTTTACTCCCTCCTTATTTACCCATTTTCAAATTAGTGCACTGAACGGCCAAAATTGAAAATGACACATTAAAAAGAATTCATTTACAGCAAAGGTTATCACATTTTCTTAATGCTTTCTTGTCCAAAAGCAATTTGGTTTTGCTGTTTTTAAGGACACCATACTCAAGATCAGACCAGGTAAGAAAATTTGATGCTAAGAGTTTCAAGCTGTCTGCTTTTGGGTTTTTCCTACCTGGCAAATAGTATTCAAGTATTTTTACTGTTTTAACAGAATTTCTTTTCAAAACAGAACTTCCAGAGCATCTTTTTAACTAACGAGGTCACTGAATCTTGGGTATAGGACTGTTAAAAGAAGACACATAACCTTAACCCATCCTCATCTGTGTTATTAAAACTTGCCTTTTTATTATGTTTCAAAACATCTGGTGACACCCTGAATATCCCAGCTTGTGAAAAATGTAGTATTTTAAAGCCTGATTCAGGGAAGCCTGATACGTATTCATAGAAAGACATTTCAGGGAATCAGTGTCCTCAGAAGTTTATATTGGTCTTGCACCCGACACTGTGCAGCATTTCCAGCATATATACCCAATTTCTTGGCCTGCATTATTTCTGATGAAGACAAAGTCAGTAATCTCTCCACTTATAATGTCTAAATTAGGTTACTATAAATCACGGATTTATGACAAATGAGATAAATGTTCCCAAAATACCTTTTGGCAAAACGCTTTTGGACTGCAATTTTGCCAGATTTTTATTTGTCTGCAAAATTGTCAGTCTACAGTATACAGAGACATCATTTAGGTTCTGTCATACTACACAAAAATTATATGATGTGCAGCTCTTTCCATTTGTATAGGTTGTGCATATCAGTGACTCTTCAGCTTCTTTTTATTTGAGCTCTTGAACTTCCATACAGGCAACTCTTAAAATTCTGTGGGTTTTGGTAAAATATTTCTGGAATTTTTCATTCTGTCACCTACAGAATTCTGTAATCCCCCGCTCCAAACTACATTTGTCCAATTTTAAAGACAGTATGAAAAGAATGGCTTTTTACAGGTTAAGATTACTGGCTTGGATTTATTTCTGCACAAAGTATTTATCTGATTCCTACAAACATGGTAAAACAACATTTTAAAGCTTTGGTTAGTTTCAGAAGTTGGATTTAACATGTCCTATTGCTTTATTACAAAGAGACACAACCCCCAGTGGTGCAACACTACCAGTAAGAACTAATAAGGAAGATGTCCAAATTGTCTGGGACTGCTTAAACCAATGCTACAAAACTGTTTTGACTTCTACATGCTGAAGCTTGCAGGATTTTATAAACTAAATAAAAATGACTTACAGACAAACAGAAAGCAAATTATTAGCAGTCTACTTGATTTTTATTTTTATAATATAGAGCAGAAAAGAGCAAGTGACGCTAACCTGAAGAAACGATTTCATAGTGTGTCAGAAGTACGATTTCTCTTAGAAATGCACAAATTATGCCATGTAGTGCTTCCAAATTCACAGAAAAAGTATTATAAAAGTGAAGTCCTGCTGTGTCAAATATGCCACACAATTTTTGCTCTGATAACAGCTATTTAGGTTAGGGCGTGACTCTTCTCTGATATAGCTGTGCTAGTACAACCCCTAGTGTGGACACAGTTTACTGCCATGAAGGCATTATACCCATATAAACTACAAAGCTTGTTTCTGAGAAGGAAAAGTATTAAGCAAGGCACTGTTATTTCAGCATAGCTACATTGACAACAGGAGAGCTGAGAGAGAAAAAGAGAGGGCAGTAGGTTTTGCTACTTAACAACATACCGGGCCAGATGAACAGATGCAGTTTTTGTGTAGAGAAACTGTGTGGTATATGTCTTTCCTCCCCCATCTCCGTAATCCTAATGTTAATCAGGATCATGATGGATGTTATTACAAAACACTTATTCCATTTAAATGGTAACATTGCTCATTGCTGCTTCATTTTTATTCTAAGAAATATTCATGTAAAACATTAATGGCAGGTAGTCATACCAAGGTGCCAATATTTGTTATTAGTCTTAACTGAATAATAAAGATAGGAGAAAGGAGATATTAGAATAAAAAAAGAGAATAAAACCAAAGATATATACTCCCTTTAATTTTCCTAAATGACACAAATTCAGTTTTGAAGAACTTCATAAATATCAGTGTATATTAAATACATAACTGTATTTACTGACATATAAATATATATATCTGGTGATCCTAAATTGCACATATGGGGACTTCTGCCTATTCTGACACACCTGAATAACTGTAATCCCTTTTAAAAGGTCACTACATATAAACTAAAATACATCTTCAAAACTAAAATTTATCCACAGAACAACTAAAAATACAATCATACCTCAAGAAACAGTAAACTCACTTTCAGTACATCAAAAGACAATCTGAAACACGATTCTTTGCTTTTAAAACAGAAAAATGCACCATTTAATATAGAATAGCACAACAGATATTCATAAATCATTGTCTCTCTACTTTAAAAGAAATAAATATGTATTTATTATGAACAGATGGTGGCCAAGGAAGGCATCAACTCTCTCTCTTAGCCAGAAGGTCAGGTCATGGCTGAGAGACCAAAGAACAATTGCTGTTTGCTATTCAGTGCCACGTAGGATAAAACATTTCAAGTTTTTCTTTAAATACAAAGCTAGATGTGATTGGGCTGGTGATTTCATTTAAATGAAATAATTTGTAATGACTTATTAACATTTCTTAAAATTTGACTTAAAAGAAAACAAACAAAAAAACCCCAAACCCTAAAACATGCACACACTCTTTTTGGCTGCCTTTTAACGTATAAAATAATATTAGGACCTAATACAGAACCTTCTGGGTTACTAGAGCCACAGCTATAAAACATCTTCCAAAATGCTGAGCCTCAGAATTTCAAAATAGTTTGTTATCCTTTTTTTAAGGAACCGACAATCATGTTTGAACACTATCACTATTTTACATTATTACTGAATTAATCTAATAACCTTTGCTGATAGGAACTCCCCCTCCCTTCACTTCAATTATATCATATTATAAACCACCACATTTCAGTGTATTCCTTCCCACACTGAATAAAATACCACTATGTCGATACACGAGGTTAAAATATTTTGTTAAATTTTGCAATTTATTCAAATGGCAATCCTGAAGCAAGTTGGAGAACAGGATTTAAAATCCAAGATACTTCTTCAAATATCTTATTAAACACATCCTGTTTTACTTGTATGCCAAGATTATGCCAACTCTCTTATCTGTGATATCTGTCAAGACACAGACGACGAGCCTGTTTTTTGTTTGTTAAAGTGTCCTTAGGCCTAAAGGATGCAGGAGTAAAAAAAAAAAGCCAACCCTGAAAACAAGATGCTTTAAGGCCCCTGTTTTTCTGTGCTGTATTATTTTCTATACATATTGAAGAGTTTTTTTATCTAATAAACTTATCTTCTGGATTTTACATACTTTTTGTATAATATGAATTAATATTGCTTGCAGCCTGAGCTTGTATTTTATTAAGTTAATAAACTTACTGTGCTACATGAAGATTTTGGGAAACTGGTAAATAAAAATAAAATTCTAAAAATATTGCCTTTTCCTCCATGTATATTCTTACACAGGGACCAATTTATTCACTTATTTACAAGAAAAAGAATGATTTAAAACCTGTTGGATAGGATGCTCTAATAACAAAAGGCATCTAAAAAAAATTAGCCTCACGTGCATCTTATACATCCGTGTATTCAGAAGGCATTCACTCTTATGTACAAATCACAACTTAAGAAGGAATAACTGGAAGTTTGAATACCTAGAGTAAAACAGATAGAACCTCAACAAAAAGGGCGCTTCAAAAGACGCAGATTACACCTGTTCAAGCTGCTTGCCAGGGATGTCGCAGGTTACTCTAATAATCTTTCTCACTGCATGGGACGTTTTCTCACAGACTGTAAGGCATATACTGTTTTCTGTATCATTATAAAACACAGTTTTAGATAATTGACAGTTAATGCCTAGTGGAATTTTTATATAGGTATTTTTCCCAGAAGGTTATTTTTGGTTTTTTTTAAAAAAACTTTTCTATGAACCCCAGCATTCATTAACCTTGAATCTTTAAAGAAACTGGAAGATAAATTATTTTGATTTTTGTTAAAGTTAGGTTATACTCAGTCTTTAATGTTTTGTCAGGCTGTATGTATACATAATTATGTGCAGATTTCTTGGTGAAAAAAGTGTATAAACACATGTATACAGTACATACATTAAGTATGCTGTATGAATACATATGATAGAGTAATTCTATATGAAAGCATGGGATGAGTATTATGTAAAACTGAACATACCAGGGCTGAAAACAAGAGTAAGATAACAGAGAGGTATTTATTTAACAGTAATAACTGGCTTGTTGCCAGTAATTCAGAAACCATTTAACAGTAATAAATGACCATATTAGAAAAACGCATCATTCCAGCTTCCGAAATAACCCTACTTAGGTTTCTAATAACTGCAAAGTTATAGCAGTATTATCTCTTACCTGGTCCTTAATTTCAAGCTCCCTTATAGTTTTTGTTCTGTACTCTCTGAGCTCCTTTTCTGCCTCATCCGTCTTCATTTTGGTTTGATTCAACTGATAGCGCATTTCTCCACACACCTGTTAGATTATACAGACAACATGAGCTGTAGCTTGAAGAATCCATAGCCCATGGTTCGCAATTAGATCTTCTGGTGCCCTCTAGAGGTCACTTAAATGTAACAGATTTTAATTTACAGATACTTTAAGATTGCATATGGTAAATGTTTTTATATAAAAAGGTGGATCTGAATTCTCTGTATAGTCATTAACTTTGAAATATGCAGTGCCTTCTAGTTTCAATTATATTTGGATTAAGATTTTGCTAAGTATAAATATTTATACTGTAAATATATGTGCTACTAAATATAGTTAAACTACAGTTGCTGGTTTTATATTCTTCTGCCATTCTCTGTAAAATCCCAAGAAAGTCTATGTCAACACTTTCAAAACTAGAAGTAAAGGATCTATCACAGACCTATATACGGGTGTAGTTTCTTGCCCTGCCAATTTTCCACTGTTAAGAAAGAAACTGTTTAGATGTTAATACAATAATTTTTGAAGTTAGAACAAAGCATTATAGACTCACTAGAAACTGAAGATAAATTCTTTAAAAACAATGCCTAACTCAAATACATGCATGGGCCAGGAGAAAGGGATCCAAGAAACATTTAAAGAAATCTAGTATCACTTCCACAAGGGCAACAATTATTCTCTGCTGTTGATATGTTCATTATGATCCTTCCTCATTCTTTTCCACCTGAAGGCATCTCAACTTCAGAGGGTCTGGAGAGGGGTGAGGGGAAAGAAAAAGAAAGGAAAAAAAAAAAGCTCCACACCAATCCCTCCCACAAAACTTTCACTGCTGTGGAGGGGTGTTATTCTCCCATTTCCCAATCTAGACTTTTAAAGGATTCTATTTGATCTTATCTGTTGGAAATGCAGAAGGACAAGCTGGCCCCTTTATGTCCTTGTTCTGTGCAATCACCTCCAATGTGTGCCTGGTCATTTCACCTTAATTAGCCAAACATAAATATATGCACATTCCCTAATGAGAACACAAATTATTTTACTCACAGCTACTCTTAAAGAACTTTCTTTCCAACTCACTCTGCTTCCCTGCCCCACTTACATGCTTTCACAAGACTTGATGCTTAGATGTGCACACTTTTAACTTGCTGCTACAGTCTTCTGTGCTTCTCAACAACCTCCTCACACACATTCCACAACCCAAACTAATTTCTATTTTTCAGTCTTCTCATTTTCACTACTTTTACTTTTTTACTATTTTTCTTAAAATAAAGGTAGGGTAAAAGAAAATATGCATACTGCAAACAAAACACCTTAGGAAAAAAAAAACCCAACTGTCATAACTATAAGAAGCACCATCATTTATAAATTCAAAGGACAGCTTGTGCATTTAGCCCTGTTGCAAATAACACAAGGTAGCAAATGCTCTGAAGAATGGCAACGTTCTAAAGCAGTATCTTTTTTTAATACTGAAATATCATATGCAACTAAAAAATCCTAAGATGCAACTGCATGGATTGCCAACCCTGTCCTTCTACCTCCTCCTTTCTTTATATGAAGGATATAACAAAGTGCAATCTGTCACTTCCTCCAAGCAAAATAAAAAAAATATACACAGCCATCTTCGCCTTCAGCTCCCCCCTACATTATACAAAGTGAATAACGCAGAAGAATCAGCAGATGGTGCTGTCCTCATAATGGATTTTTCAGTCTCCTCGTAGTTCAGAATGAAGGAAAAAGATTCTCACTCTAAACTTTTTTCCCCTGAGTTTCAGTGCATGCGGAAAAAAACAATCAGATAAAACTAAAAAGGAAAAATGTTGCTATTTGTTGTTTTTAATAATGGCAAACCGAGTCTGGAAACAAGGAGTCAGATTCACAAGCAGACATAGATGTCACTTACACAGTAAATGAAAAAGGTCAGGGTGATGCACACAGTCCTGACGGCTCAACGGTCAGCACCTTCCTCCAGCATGTTTGAGACCTCTCAGAACAGGGACACCAATGCAGTTTTCCAGTCTCTCAGGACAGTGCAATAAAAACACAGCACAGACTACTGCAAGGTGGCCAGCTATTCTATTTTGTATTGACTAACATGAACTGAAGCAGGGAACCACAGTGTCACCTCTCCTGGGAGACTGCTTCAAATTGGGAGGCTATAGAATTGGACCAGTGCATGTATTTATAGCTGCTACCTCCCCACCCCAGCCCTGTAAGTGGTGCTAGTCACCTGTGAACCCTACGTGGAAAACCAAGTGTGTTTCAGAAATGGTAAATCAAACCATTTTGACATTCTTAAAATGCTCCCTCATTTGTCTTTCAGCTGAAATTGAACTAATTAAGTTTGGATGACATTTTTCTCTAAATTCTCTGCAATACTTTCACCTATTTCTACCAGCAGGGGCAGCAGAGGAAGACAGAAACTGATGAAAACCTCTCTGGAAGTCTCTAGGGGCCTACAGAATGAAATGCTTGCCAAAACCTTGCAGCTAATAACTGTGGAGGTAGGATTGGCCCTAGGACTATTGGTAAGGTATACAGACATTTCAAGAGGCTGTAATAAATTTAAATTCTCCGATGGTCTATTCTATAGAAATTTAGAATCCCCTCATCTTCATGAAGTTGGAATTATTTCTGTAACAAGTGAATGATGAAACTAAGCTAAGAAAAATCACTTTAACAATGTGTCATCCCCCAGCATAAATTTTAGATGGCAATTGTTTTTATTTTCTCATGTTATGACCCACATTAAGGCTCTAATAGGTTGAGAAAAATGTGCAAAATAAAGCACCCAGAAGCGATACCACATAAATAGATAGGTATTAAGCTATATTCTTACCTGGAAGCAAGACCTCTTCGTAAATGGTATGTCGTCAACATTAATGAGTAAAGCAATACCAATTCTACAGGAAAGTACTTGAAAAAGTGATTTGATACAGCTTCCTTAATTTTAGCACTGCATATCCCAGAGGAAGCAATTACAGGACAAGGTCGAATACTATGGTGTCTCATTCATACCAAATGCAACCTTAAATGAAACACTGGATTGCAGTTTAAACAGTGATTTAAATGGTCTGTGATGTAAAAAGCTCAGATTTTGCATCTCAAGGTGACTTGGTAGACTGAAGAAGTTAAGTTTTTACTTGTAAAACCCTGTCTCAGATTTTCAGATGAAGTTTACATTTATCACACATTCTTTAACAATAGAGAGGAAAATGCAGAAACAAAAAAAATCTCATCTTTCAAGTCACAATGGTAAAGAAAACAAGCTCAATACTCATTTATAAATGTGCCTACCTTATTCATGTCCATTTCATGAGATGCAAGCTGATGTTGTGATTCTTCTAACTGGTTAACTAGAGAGTTCTTTTCCTTTGTAATTCTCTCTACCTGAGCCTCCAGCATGGCCACATTCTCAGACATGGCCACCACCTGCAAAAAGCCCAAGAACACTGTAATGCTGCAATTTGACCAACCACAGATCTACATCTTGCGGGACTTTCTCCTTGAAAGTAACTGTAGTTACGTAGTCAAAATACATAGAACTAAAAATATAAAATTAAATATATATCTATATAATAAAAACATCTAATAAAAATATCAGTTAAAACTATAACAGAATATGGCTAAGGTATTTCCAC